CCCGCCACCACCGCTGTGCTGGCAGCCGTCAGCCTGGCTTGTGGCTAAACAGAGCTCCCCCTGTGGGAGCCCACTGACCACCAGGGGGCAGCTCCTGCATTGAGCATCTGCCCCCTGGTGGTCAGTGTGTGTCATAGTGACCAGTCATTCTGCAGTTAGGGTCAATTTGCACATTACCCTTTTATTATATAGGACTAGATGCCCGATGCACGAAATTTGTGCACGGGGGTGGGGGGGGTCTCTCATGGCTTCATCTGGAAGGTCATCCGGCTGTCTGGTCTAATTAGCATATTATGCTTTTATTATTATAGACTAGCAATCCCCCTGCGGGATTGGGCCTAAACCGGCAGTCAGACATCCCTCTCGCAATCCGGGACTGCTGGCTCCTAACCGCTTGCCTGCCTGCCTGATTGCCCCTAACCACCTCTGCCTGCTGGCCTGATTGCCCCTAATTGTTCCCCTGCCTGCATGATCACCCCTAATTGCTCCCTTGCCTGCCTGATCACCCCTAACCATTCTGCCTGCCTGCCTGATTACCCCTAACCACCTCTGCCTCAGGCCCCGTCACCACAGCTTTGTCTGGAAGACTTCCCGTCTATCTGATTAATTAGCATATTACCCTTTTATTAGTATAGATAGAGGCCTGGTGTACAGGTGGGGGCAGGCTGGTTTGCCCTGAAGTGTGTCCCAGACCAGGGTGGGGGTCCCGCTGGGATGCCTGGCCAGCCTGGGTGAGGGGCTGAAGGCCGTTTTCAGGCTGGTCACACCCCCTTCAGGGTGGGGGTCCCCACTGGTGTGCCTGGCCAACCTGGGTGAGGGGCTGATGACTGTTTGCAGGCTGGTCAGCCAGCCTGGGTGAGTGGCTGATGGCTGTTTGCGGGCTGGCTAAGCCCCCCAGTGAGGACCCTCACACATGGGGGTGTGGCCAGCCTGGGTGAGGGGCTGAGGGCTGTTTTCAGGCTGGCCCCGCCCCCGGGGAACTCAAGCTCCCAGCCTCTCCTTTTTTTCTTTTTCTTTTTGGCTGGCTGGAAGCAGGTATCTGGGATTTATTT